AACAACCAGGAGAGAAGGTGAGAAAAGGAGAGCAGGAGGAGAGCAGAAAAGGAGAAGGAGCGAGTACAGGAGAGAAGGAGAGAAGAGCATGGAGAAAGGAAGGAAGGGAGGAGTTGAGAAGCTACTTTGCTGTGGGAGGTGAAGAGAATGGGTTTGAAATTGCTCTTGTTGAAAACCAACTCCAATGCGTCCCGCCAGGTGTCTTGCGCGCTGCCGTACCCGATGCCGCTGGAAGGTTGATGAGAGGAAGAGGGGAGGAGAGGAGGAGAGGAGGAGAGGAGGAGAGGAGAGGAGGAGAGGAGAGGAGGAGAGGAGGGGGAGAGGAGGGGGAGAGGAGGGAGAGAGGAGGGAGAAGATGAGGATGAGGATGAGGAATAGAGAAGAGTAAGGGGAGCGAGATGGAGATAGAGAATGAAGGGAAACAAGAAGAAGGTTGAAGGAAGGAAGCAACAAGGAAGGGGAGGAACGAAGAGCAAGACCTGTTGTAGGCTACGAAAAGATCGGGAAGGTCGTGATACCTACAAGAGGATAAGGACCGAGGAGGACGAGGAAGGAGTGAGATGGAGAGAAGGGAATGTAGAGCAGCAAGAAGGGGACGAGGACGAGGACGAGGACGAGGAGGAAACCAGGGCGAGGAAAGCGAGGAGGAGACGGGCGAGAAGGAGGAGGAGGAAACGGAGGCGGAGGATAAGACTGTAGAAAAGCGAGAGGTGCAGGAGGAGCAGGGACACCAAATGGACATAGGCGTGCTAGGAGGAGGAGGAGGAGGAGGAGGAGGAGGAGGAGGAGGAGGAGGAGGAGGAGGAGGAGGAGGAGGAGGAGGAGGAGGAGGAGGAATACTGAATCTGTTTCTTCGCTGGAATTTTGTTTCCTGTTTTTTGTATCCTCGTCACTGCCTAGTTTCCCTCCACTCAAAACAATTTGACAGGTGAAGAACAAAGATGGGACGATCTTGTTGAATCCAGGAGCAGACTATGTCGATATTTCAACTTGCTTTTGCTCGAAAGTGATTCATCACATACAGGTGATTCAAGACAAAGACGTCCTTCTATCCATAGCAAGGGACGACGACTCCTACACTGTCAACGACGGTTCTTTCTACCGTGAGCTGCAAGCTCAACAAGCCAAGTCGTCATCAGCACGGAAGTCCAAGAGAGTGAAGAAAAAACCAGAGAGGATTTTGTTCTGCGGATGGAGAAGAGACCTGGCAGATATGATCTCTCATCTCGACCATATCGTCCCCAAGGGCAGCGAGCTCTGGCTCCTGAGCAGCATCCCCGTCTACCAACGACGAGGGCTACTGGAGGACGTCGGTCAGCGGGAGAACCTTCAGCTTGTCAAC